GCCAATAAAGTAAGAAAAAATTTAGCGTTATGATCGTATCTAATGTCTATAACCAATTTATCAATTGAATAACAAGATTATTGAAATTCGATGATCGAATCTTAGATCTGATTTCTTATTCACTCGTTAGGCTACAATTTAATCTCTTTAAAATCTAATTTTAATTTTAATTTCTTATTTCAATCGCTTTAGTTGAATGTCCAAATCTCTCTCCCTCTCCCCCCTCCCCCAAATCCTTGAATTGGTGACAAAATATAAATTAAACTACACAGTTTCTATTGATCAACTTCGGCACCGCTTGCTACGCGGCGACTCGGTGTTAGAGAATTTTTTAAAATCACCTTAAATGTAAAATTAAAATTATTTGAAGTGATAGAAATGATGAGTATGTAGCACTATTTTGAAAAATATGCAATGAAAGTGGTATAATTTAAGACAACAACTTCGTATCCATTTCAATCAAAAGACATTGCAGAACGTATGAATCGAACACTAAAAAAATTATAAAAGTCTTGTTGATCAGTTTAAGATTGTCTCAAAATTTATGGAAAAAAGTAATACTAACTGCAAATTACATTCTAAAAATATTATATTTAAGGGTAATGATGTGACCTTTTACTAATCATGAAAAGACGATAAGCCTACTTATAAATACTTCAAATTGTGAGGGTGTCTAACAAAAATAAAAAGTTTTGCCTCTTAAGAAAATTGCTATAGGCCCAAAGGCCGTAGATTGTATTTTTATTGAATACGCCCTAAATGGTAGTATATATTATTTTGCAGTTCATAATTAAACATTCTTGAGTAAAGAAAAATTTGAAAATAAAAAATGCAATATTCTTTGAAAATATCTACTCATGTAAGAAAATAATCAGATCAATTCATAATCCTTAGATGAAGATTTACAAGGTGAAAAAAAATAAATTAAATGGCTAACAATCCTGATGAAAAAATTTATAGAACTTAAATATAGCAAAAGAATAAAAGTAGAGAAAGCTTTTGGTCTGATTTTTTATGTACATGTTGGATAATGATCCAACATCGATAACGAAGCACTTTCTAATTCTGGTGTTTTTTTTTTCTTTTCTTTCGGGAAAGAAGTATAGACAATGAAATAAATTAAATTACATAGAATAACACTTGGTGTTTTTTATTTATCCAAATATTGTAAACCACTGGGGCGTAAACGAATTTTGAAAAGAAAATTCAAAGTTGATGGATTTATTGTTAAAAATATAAAGCCCGGCTTATAGTAAAATGCTTTAGAAAAATCGAAATATTTGATTTCGTCGACATATATTCACCAAGGATAAAATTCATTCAGCTTCTTCTCTCGATTACATTTATAATCTTGAGATTCACTGAATAAATATAAAAACTGTATTTTCAAATGATGAATTAGAAGAGAGTTGAATGCAATATATTAAATAAAATAATAAATATATGATTTAATATTTTTAAAAATATATATATTTATTCTATAAATACTATGAGTTTTTTCCCTTTGTTTGTGGATGGAACAATTTTTCCTAAATAATATTTAAAACTTTAATATACATATTAAGAAAATATATAATATATATACTTTATTCATTCACAAAAGGTCAATAATTTAAAATTATATTATTTTTTATATCAACAACATAATTTATCATATCTAAAATAAAAATATATTCATCCAAAAAGAAAAAAGCGAACAAATTCATATATATTGCCCATATATTATAATTTTATATAAGATTACTAATATAAATAACTATAAATGTGAATATATTTATAATATATGATGGGGTTTATACTTTAAAAAAAATAATAATATTCTCCTCAAATTCAAATGATGCATATTTTAGAGTAATTTAGAAACATATTAATTGAAGAACTAATTTGAGACGGACAAAAATAGTAAAATGAGATAATATATCATTTGAACCGAATATTTGATATTGTGATAAATAAAAATTAAAATATTATTATCTTTTAATAGGATAGTGAAAGTATGTTATTTTAGATGAATAATCAAATTTAATTATTGATAATGTAACTAAACAAACTATATATTTTTAACGTCGTTTTAATTCATTCAATTAGTTTGATTTTTTTTTTCAAAATATTTATTTTTTTAAATTTTATCTAATGAAAATTTGATTTATCTTTTCAATATACTTATCTTTCTAATAGTATTATATATATCTAAAAAACAAAAAGAAAATTAAATAAAATCACATTTTATAAATTTATAGTTGTTGTTAAATTAAGAATTTTTATTATAAATATAAATTGATAAGAAATAAAAGATAAAATAATTAATTATTAAATAAGTTAAAAATTATAGAATTTGCAATTGATCCAAAAAAATAACATTATATATTTTGTATTATAAGAGAATAATTGAGTTTTTTTATTTTGATTTGAAATTAATTTTTTTTAAAAAAAAATAGTTTAAATAAAATTTTGATTTGATTGCTAGAAGAAATAATGCACTTTTTAAAATCATACAAACTAAATAATATAATTTGTGTTTAAAATATAGACTAAACACAAATGCTTTAGATTTTTTTATCAATAGTTTTATGTTGATTTTAAATAAGTTAAAAATCATAAGAGTCACTATGATAAAAAAATAATAATAATTAAAAATAATTAAAAAATAGAAAATACTACATATTGTATTTTAAGAGAAAAATCAATAGCTTGAAATTTTATATCCATCATTTTATGCCCCATCTAAATAACAAAATTATTTTAAATGATAGTTGGCAAATAAATACCTATAATAGCAATATATATATATATATATTATCATTAGATATTTATAAGAACATACTTAATTTAAATTGGCAAAGTAATAGTATAAATATTATTTTTTTTCACCTCATTATATGTATCATTTTATTATTTTTAGTAACTTAAAAATAATAATATTTTATTGATAAATAAATGTGTGTGAACAAAAAACCAAATTTGATATTTTTTATCTTTGTATTTTCTATTTTATATTTTAGGGTAAACCGTTTTTTTAGTCTCGAAATTGGATCTCTTTATCACTTTAGTCTTGTAAGTGGAGTCTGTCGCAAACTTGTCCTATAAGTAAAAAAATTTTGCTGTTTTAGTCATTCGGCGTCGGAGACGCCCGCGTGGCTTGCCGGAGGCCATGTGTCTGTCAGGTCAACGACACCTGGCGGACACGTGGATTTTATTTTTTATTTTTATTTTTATTTTTTTTAAAAATTATTTTAAATTTATTTTAAATTTTATTCATTTGGTCCAACTAAAAAAAATTAAAAAATTAAAAAATAAAATAAAATTCATGTGTCCGCGAGGTGTCGCTGACCTGGCGGGACACCTGGCAGACACGTGGCTTCTGGCGAGCTTCGTGGGCGTCTCCGGTGCCGGAGGACTAAAACAACGAAAATTTTCCACTTATGGGACTAATTTGCGACATGCTCCACTTACGAGACTAAAATGATAAGGGTGTCAGTTATGGGAAAAAAAACGATTTACCCTATATTTTATAATATATGTAATTTATATTAAAAAAATAAAAAATATATATTAATGTAAGATATATCACTATTACTATAATATGGAAAATTTACTTAAAATGGACGAAATAGAAATACATATGAATAATAAAGTATTTGAATATATTTATCAATTATTATTGAATATTTATAATTTTAATAATATTCATACTTATTATTTCTAATTATAACAACTATTCAATAATTTTGCAAATTATTTTCAAAATATATATTAGCATATTGAATGTGATACTAACAAAAATAAATATATAAACCATTTATTATTTTTAGTAACAATAATAACATTTAATAAACCTATAAATATTTTTAAAATATACTCTCTTTATTCCATATTTATCTATTTATTTTTTAGACGGAGTTTTAAAAATATAGATAAACTGTATTTTTAGTCCCGTAACTGGATCCTTTTATCATTTTAGTCAGCCTGCCGCAAACTAGTCCTATAAGTGAAAATTTTTCACTGTTTTAGTCCTCCGGCGCCGGAGACGCCCGCGTGGCTCGCCGGAGGTGATGTGTCCGCCAGGTCAGCGACACCTGGTGAACACGTGGATTTATTTTTTATTTATTTTTTTTTATTTTTTAATTGGACTAAATAAAAAAATACAAATAAAATTTAAAATAAATTAAAAATAAGTTTTTTAAAAAAAATAAAAAATAAAAAAATCCACGTGTCCGCCAGGTCAGCGACACCTGGCGGACACGTCACCTCCGGCGAGCCACGCGGGCATCTCCGGCGCCGAAGAACTAAAACAGTGAAAATTTTTCACTTATGGAACTAGTTTGCGACAGGCTCCACTTACGGGACTAAAATGATAAAAGGATCCAGTTACGGGACTTAAAAAAACAGTTTACCCTAAAAATATTAGTATTATGTTGGGATCTAGAAAAAATAAAATAAAAAAACTAAATTAACCTTTAATTTAGTAATATATTATAAATTGAAAATGTATTTGTAATATCAGGTAGATAGGATACTTTGTTATAGGACGGATTAAATGGAAAAATAGATAGATTGTTAAGGGACGAAGAAAATATATTAATAGTATTATATTATGCACTATATAAAAATATAGAATAAGTATAATCAGTAGACAATTAAGAATATATCGGTGAAAATAATTATTTTATAATACTACTATAAATAATTATAAATTGAGATAACTAAATAGTGTAATTAAAATTTAAAATATTATAAATTAAAAATTTTAAAATAAGATTAAAACGTGTAATCATTTAAAAAATAAAAATAAAAAATAACATGAGAGGTAAGATAAATATAAACGGCAATATAAACATCATCTGTAGGACGGAAAGAGTATAAATATAAAATATGTTTGGCAGCTGTGCCGAAGGTCAACATGATACTACTATTATATATGAGCACAAAATCAACGTGCTAATTTATCTTATGGCTATAAATATATGCACACACATGCATACAATCATTCATTTTTAATTTTTAATTTTCAATTTTCAATTTTCAATTTTCAAATTTCAAATTTCAATGGCCATGCTTAGTTCTTGTTATGATACTCTTTTCTATTACAAGAGCAAACCATCCTTTTTTGATTCACCACAAAAATCTGTTCTTCCCCTCCAGCCCTCCTCTCTACTATTGCCGCCGGTAATCGCCGCCTCACTTTAATTAATTATATTATTTCATGCCCAAAATTTCAAATCAAATAGGCGAAATTGTTTATGATTCACTTGTAGTTTGAAAAGCAGTTAACATTCTCCTATTTAGAAATTGCATGAATCTTTTAAATAATATTGTTCAAAATATCGTTTTTAGGGGTTTATGTGCAATTCTTTTGAAGATACAAAAGAGTCTTTTGCAAATATATTCACATTTTTTTCAACATATTTTACAATAGTTTGAGTACAAATCCACATAATATTTATTTATTTTATGGATATCTTCATCTATTTGTATTTAGTGGTTTAATTAGTACTTGCAGACAACCTTGAATCATAGACCATGTGTTTTCAGTAGCTTTTTTCCATGTTAGAAATAATGCAGAATTGAATTCAACAAGCGTATGGTGGTCCTTCACTTCTATTATATATATATATATATATATATATAAACATTTATTTTGTTTGTTTTTATTTTTTCCTCTTTATCAAAAACCACACGTTGGTGTTTTTATAACCAGGCAAAAGTGGATTATTTGGAATCTACTAAAACCATTAAGGAGGTCCAAGAAAGGACAAGAAGAACCCTACAAAGAGGATTGGATCCAACGGCTGCGATGAAGTTGATCGACACCCTTCAATGGCTGGGAATCTCCTATCATTATGAAGAAGAGATTGATTTCTGGTTGGAGAAATTACAGCATTGGGATGCTGGAGAAGATGACTTACATGCCACAGCTTTACGATTTCGACTGCTTCGACAAAATGCACGGCCTGTTAGCTCTGGTAATTCATTTTTATCTGTGTTAATTATAATTCTGGGCTAACAGTTAATCCTTATAGGTTTACTGCATGAATATATTTCATGTGATATGAAATTAATAGTAATATGTTATGTATTTATATGTTGTATTTATATTATATTAATATAAGTTTTTGGGTTGTTGATTTGTGATTCATGTACAACATTTTTGGCTCATAAAATTTCGATTATTAATTTATCTTATTTTAATTTTATTTTCTTTGTAAATTATGGGCAGATGTTTTTCGAAAATTCATGTTGAAAGAGCAAGACAAAGAGGGGCTATTGAGTTTATATGAAGCTTCATATTTAGGATCAAACGGCGAGAATATGTTGTCCGAGGCCATGAAATTCGCGGAAAATGAATTGAAATCTTCGCCATTGCAACAGCGTATGTCGAGGCGTGTTGCCCGAGCCCTTGAGCTTCCGAGGCATCTAAGAATGGAGAGGTTGGAGTCAAGATTGTACATCGACGAATACCGTTGTCAAGACAACCATTGTCCCCTTCTTCTAAAGCATGCAATATATGATTACAATGAGGTCCAATCATTACATCAAACTGAACTTGCTGAGTTATCAAGGTAGTTTAAATTAGTATATCCAAACTATTTGAATATGTCAAGAAAATAATTATTAATTTCATTGTACTTAGCTATTTGAATGCATGGTAAATCTAAGTGTATTATTCTTTATTAATGATCTAGGTGGTGGAAGGATTTGGGCTTAATCGAAAATTTGGGCTTCAAAAGGGATCGTTTGATCGAGTGTTTTTTGTGGACGGTTGGGATTCTCCCGGAGTCCAAATACTCGGTTGCTCGGATTGAAATGGCCAAAACCATCGCAATTTTAACGGTCATTGATGATGTGTTTGACATGTATGGGCCCATAAACGAGCTTCATCTCTTTACACAAGCAATTCAAAGGTAAGAAAATACTTACTCATTTACTTCTAAGCAAATTTGACAATACAGTTCTTAGTAAAAATATACTATTTTTTTCTCACAAAATATTACTTCAAAATAGTATTCAAAATTTACTTAATTTTCAGGTGGGATCTTGAAATGATCGAACAACTTCCGGGGTACATGAAAATTTGTTATATGGCATTGTACAACACAACTAATGAAATTGCCTTTAGGGTCCTCAAAGAACAAGGAAGAAATGTCCTTCCTTTCCTCGCCAAAGTGGTATACAGAACTATCTGAATATATTTATAAATTTTATTTACATGAATACAAAATTTTTATTGTTATATTAAATCATTTCTTTTGTAAAATTCGACAGTGGATCGATACAATCGAATCTTATATGATCGAAGCCAAGTGGTTCAACAAGGGCAATGTACCTTGTGTAGAAGGTTATCTCAAAAATGGAGTAACAACTTCGGGTTCATACATGGTTCTTGTGCACTTATTCTTCTTGATGGGCGAAGGAGTTACAATCGAAAATACGAAATTAATGGCTAAACCATACCCTAAGCTATTTTTAAACGCAGGAACTATTCTTCGATTGTGGGATGATCTTGGAACTACTAAGGTAGTAATTGATTTTTTTTTTCGAAAATATGACTTCCTATTTATTTTTTATTTCTCTTTTTACGTCTGAAAATATTGCTACCAACTATATATATAAAATCTCGTCCTTGTGTTTCTTTTAAATTTATAGTGAATCTTTTTACGAGTTAGACTTAAAAAAGAGAAAAAAAAACAAAAACAAAAACAAATTATCAAGAAACATTGTACTCCCTCCGTCCCCTCTTAGATTCTTTTTAGTCTGTCATTGGCAAAATCAACAAATTAATATTTTATTATTATTTTCCATTCAACGTTTATTTACAACAAATATCATTATCTATATTACATTTTCTCTTTTCATTTACTTTAATTTATAATTAAATTTCTAAAAATATTTTCAACTATTTTTTTTTAATAAAATATTTATTTTTCTTTTGGACGGAGGGACTATCAAATATTATTTAAATGAAAAGTTCAAGCCTTTCTTATCAATCCAAAAATACACCCCATGTTTTGGCTAATTTTCTTTTACTTTCTAAAGTAAAAATAATTTTTATTAATTTGTAATCGTTTTGAATTATGTTAAATGCAGGAAGAACAAGATCAGGGAGACAATGCTTCGATAATAACTTCATTGTTGAAGGATAAAAGCATCACAAGTGAAGATGAAGCTAACGAAAACATTAAGAGACGTATTCGCAATGCGTGGAAAGATATGAATGGCGAGCTCTTGGAATCGAAAATATTGCCATTACCCTTGGTGAAGGCCTGTTTCAACATGGCAAGAACGTCGCAGGTTGTCTACCAACATAAAGAAGATAGCTATCTCTCCAGTGTGAAAAAATTTGTAAATTTTATACTCTTAGAGCCTATTAATATTTGAAATGATAGTTTGAAAAATATTCTTAGTGTTACTTCATACATACTTTCCCCAAACCTTTTGTTGAGATATTTTACGTACAGTTTATATGGATTTGGTTTTATCCATATATTAGGTTGTTTATGTCGTTTAGATTTTAATATATCGAGTCTGTATTATAGTTCCTATATATAGGCCTTGTTTGAATGATCAAATAATACAATTTTTGAAGTTTCTGTAAGATAATCTAATACGGTCGAGAGTTTTGTTATTTTCGATTTCGGTGAGGGTTCTGCTGTTTTTTTACTCCATTAAGAGTTTTGTTATTTTTTACTTTAATTCAATTAAGATCATTGTTTTTTACTTTGACCTAGTGGAGCGGCGGACAAGCAACTGTTATTTTCGATTACGTCTGTGTTTATGTTCAACTTTCTTTTATATATTGAGTTTAGATTTATATTTAGTTTTATACATATATTAGGTTGTTTAGATTGTTTTCTGTTGTTTAAATTATTTCGATTTGAGTCTATGTCGTATTATGATGCTTATATATGCCTTATTTTGGTGATCAAATCATGCAATTTTTTAATTTCAGTAAAATAATCTAACATTTTTGTGTATGTATTCATTCACATCTTACATTTTTTTTTTTTTTTTATATATGACAAAACTTGGAGTGTGTTTGTTTGGGGGTTTGAATTTTGGGTTTGTGATTTGAATAATAAAAACTTTAAATTGAAATAATTGTATAAATAAGTGTTTATGCGGATATTTTGAATGATCTTTTAGTATAATATATAAAATGAAAATAAAATTAGTTTGATTTGATTTTTTTTGGGAAAATTTTTATAAATAGTAGAAATTTGATAGTTTTGTTTTTTTTTTTAAATTAAAATTGAAATCAACATTACTCACTCTCCACAATTTTTAATAAAAATATATTATTTTTCTTTTATAAAATATTACAGCAAAATACTAGTTAAACAAAACTCAAGTCAATACTATATTTTAAATCAATTTTAAAAAAATAAAATAAAATGTTAGAATCAGACAATCTGTTTTAGTCTTTGAAAGAATAGTTGCAGAACAAGTTCAATCCTGTTTTTTACTCGAGTATGTTAATCACATGGAGCAATCAATGGATTGATATCTGCACATAGTCTTGAGAAAATATCATGGAGAATGTAAATCATAGTAAGAAAGATGATTAGTTTTTTCTTTTCTTTTCTATTTTTAGAAAAAAAAAATAATAATATTAAATATATTTAGAAGCATTATATTATATTTAAGATAATTATCTTATTTAAGAGATTCTTATGATTATTGTCTTATTTAGACGATTTGTATATTATTGTACGTATTCGGATGTTGAATGACCGTCTCACCTAAAAGCTCGAATTTTTAGGAAAAAGCAGTTATTAATCATATATCCCCAAACAGGAGTCCCGACAAATAATAAAGTAAATCTTGGTATCATTGATATATAAGGTGTGTTTGTTTGGGGTTTGGATTTTGGGTTTGAAATTTAAATAATAAAAATTTTAAATTGAAATAGTTTATAATTCTATATAAACATATGTTTATGTGATATTTTGAATGTAAAATAAAATTAGTATAATAACGAAAATAAAAAATAAATCTTTCATTTTAGTGTTGTTAGGGAAAAAATTTGTGAATAGTAAAACTTTTGTAAAGGTGTAAAAGAACACACCCATACAATTTTTAAACTTTGTTAAATCACTAATCCTTAATTCGTCCAATTTATTAACATGTCGAATTTGTGTTGACTCATATATATATATATATATAATTGGATCAAAATCCAGAAGTCAAACTTTATTATCTTGTATGAATTTGTCGTGTTGGATTAGTTTTTGCTAGCTCTAATGTAAATCACATTTTGGATCAAATTTGATAAACAATTTATATATTCTGTGTGTTTTTTATTTTTTATTGTTGAGATATTTTAGATTTAGTTTAATATTTTTTTAGATTAGTTTGACTGGTTTATTTTAGATTTGGTAGGTTTAGATTAAAATTTGATTTTATCCATATGTTAGGTTTTTTTTTTTTTCAGTTTATTGATCATTTTTATGGTGTCTATATACTCTTATTTTAATAATCAATATAATATCATTTTTCATGTTTTCATAAAATAATTTTAACATGGTATCATAGTCTATTTTACTCTCGGAGTAAACACAACCTCTAGAATAAACACAGCCTATTAACCTACACTTATCTGGGTTCATTCAATCTAGATTGTACTGGAAGATTTTGCGATTTTAAGATTATATATATAGTTACAAATTTGGTTGTGAATTTGTTTGCAAATATGTCTCCAAAAGCTATCTGCGAATTCATTTTGCCATTCGTTTGCGATGTCTGTTGTCTGCATATCTGCAAATCCATCCGTTGTTTGCGTGTCTGTAATTTATCTGATGTATGTTTGTTGTCTATATATTTGCGATTTGTCTGCGTTTGACTCTAATTCCATTTAGATATGTTTATGTATCTGGATCGGTCCGTTGTCTGATGTTTTGCTATCTATGTTCCGTTTTCTATTCGTTGTTTGCAATCTTTCTGCGTTTGACTCTAATATCAATGAGAGTCTTTTCTGCATTTGATTCTGATTCAGACAAACTTTTCTACGCCATTAATTGTATGGATGTTGACATATTTTAAATTTAAATTTAGATTTAGTTTAATAGTTATTCAAACTCCTTAGATTGGTTTATTTTAAATTTGGTAGTTTTAGAATATGATTTGGTCTTATCCATATATGTTATATTATTTTAATTTCAGTTTATCAAATCTATTTTTTTTTCTTATATATATATATATATGTGCTTTTATTTGATGATCAAAATAATACAATTTTTATGTTTCTGTAAAATAATTTTAACTTCTATAATTGGTTTTTGTTATTAGTTGATTGTTTGAATAATGCACAGATCACATACACGAGTGCACATGTTATGGATGTGATATCTTTGTTGTGCGTCCAAACTTTCTCATTATCATTATTATTATTATTATTATTCCCTCCATCGGAAAAAAAATATATATATATATCATTGACTGAATACAAATTTTAAAAAAATTAAATAAAAATAAAAATTGTTTGCTTCTATAAAATCTTTTCATGAAACTTCTTTTCTACCAAAAAGTAAATATGGAATTAAGATATAAGATAAAGGAATAAAAACAATGAAAATAAGAGCTTGTACAAGTTATACGTTTCGTCACCACTTTGTGGAAAATCGTTAGATATGAATATGTTAGATACCTGTGACTGTTTTACTAAAAAAGAAAATAGGTTGAAGGAGTAGCCATTTAGCACAAACAAAAGACAACATTGTGATATCTAGAAATACATGGTGTCATATGTTGAGTTAAACTTCTGGTTGAATTACTATAAAGCAGAAGAGTTACTACAAGTAATAATGAATCACATAATGCAACTTGGTGGATGTAAACTTCAAAAATTTTCTTAGAACCAACGAGTTTCGTATTCTTACACAAATGTTATTTATGAATATACATACAATTTTAAGCCCAGATTCACATGTTCGGCCATCATTAAAACGAACCACGATATATCTGATTATATGGGACGAATTAGAATACAAATTAGATCGGTGCCAAGGACTTCCATTTGAGTTGATACCAATTATCGTTTGCATTCGAACATTGAGAAGCAAATGAGGCTAACAACATTTGGATTGGAACGTTCAAACATCATATTATTTAAGCAATAAGACAAAAACCATTCTCCTTATAAGTAGCTAATATTTCGAGTTGCATCCTTTTGAAAAAAAAAAAAAAAATCTATGTTCATGATTAGAGATGACTATAGATATTGAATAAAGTGAAATTGAAGTTGTAGTTATCTCAGTCGAAATCAAAGATAGATTTTATAGTCTTTTTACTGGACCTAAAGGTCAAGAGTTTGAGGACTTCGTCATTAAGCTACACTCTCAATTCTTATTTTGAATTGTATATTAATTTGTTGTGAAAGAATAAAATATATATTATATATTAAAAATTTTATCATTAATATGGTAGTTTAGGTGAACAAAACTTATATATATTAATGAATTTTAAGATTCATCCATGAGAGTTAATTTGTTCATTTTGTGCTTTTTTTTTTTTTTTCTTTACCTTTGTTTTTACTTTATTTATTTTTAATTTTTATAATAACTTATAAAAATATATTACTTTATCATACAACATCACGTTTAATTTACTATTCAAACTAAAAATTAAAACAAACTAAAAAATTCAGCAACATAATACATTCTTTTTTTTTTTTCAAGTGTTTCTTAGATAAATTATTTGTTAAATGTAATATTTTCTATTAAAATTAAGTATTGAATACGATGCTTCAATTTAAAGAAAAAAATAAAGAGATTCCATAACAAAAGCAAAAATAAATTTAGAAGATAATGAACTTAAATTAATTCCAAATTTCAAAATGATCATTTCAACATAAACTAATCAAGATAATTGTGCATAACAAGAAAAGTGAAGTCAATCAACAACTTAATGACACATTATCAGGCACTAATTCAACACTGATAGAGGTGACAGCCACTCAAATTTTTCAATATTAAAATACACCAAATCAATTGAAAACCAATGCAGATAGAAACTAGAAAACCCTTTGTCAAAAAGTGCATCGAGCAACAAAATTCAGGTAGTCAAGAGTGCTAATAAAGGAGGGTCCAAAAGGGCAGCTAAAACATGATTAAAAAAGATGAAGGAAAAAGCTTGCAAATTGCAGGTAAGAACTAAGCTAAGTTTGTACAGAAGTGGCAGTGACAAAATATGCAACAGAAAAGAGGGCATGAACCATACAAAGAATCCCTCCAATGGACAAGAAATGGTGGTGTGTGAATCCACAAGAAGCCCTTGATTTATGGTTGGAGATGATTCCGATCACCAGCATCGATAGCCCGACAGCCAGGATGATCCTGCAGATCATACACATTGCCGGCCTAAGGTTGAGATCGAGCCGTCTACTTAATCAAGAACTATAAACCTCAAGAGAAAACATTGAGTAGCCTTAAAAAGAATTATTGAGTTGAAATAGGAATGAATGTTGTACCAAGTGAAAATAAGGCAAGCCACTGAAAGCTGTTTGCTCGGGGGAGCTTTCTCGAACTGTTCTTGAGTACATGCGGCGCATCCTCCGAGCAAATTTGCAAGAACATGAGCTATTCCTAGAAGGGTTGCGGCTGCTAGCGCTAGAACAAATGCGTCGTGGCTTGGCTCCTTGCATTCGAATATCCACAACCTCATGTGCTTCTCCTATGGATGGATATTAGTGATCAAAGCAAATGAAGATCATGTCCATTGTATAGGGGAAAAAAAAAAAAAAAGTGTAGTGTGGATGTACATTTTGAGAATTCAAGATCAAGTTGCCGCGATTAGTTTTATGTAGATAATTAAAGGGATAGTCGGTGCATGGTGCGCGAAGATATACAGTGTTCGAATTTTACCAAAACCCAAAAATTGTTGTTGCTCAAAATTACTTTGAATACATGAGATGAAAATAAATTCTTGAAAATGGTTTTTGCACCTGGTTTTGGGCTGCTTCGGCTTTGATGCCGAGAATTCCAGCAATGACGTCCAATGCAACAATGACAAGACACGCGAAAATCGCCATAAGTTTCCCCATTGTTGAGAGTGTAGAAGATAAGATGAAGAAGAAGAAGAAGCCTCAAAAAGGAAATGAAGAGGAGGGGAGGTAGGCAAAGAAAAACTCAATTAAAAGATAAAAGAGCAAAAGAAGGCAATGTAGGGACAAGACATTGGGCATAGCAAATGTAATATATAATGTGGAATTTTGGATGATGCTTGGGAAAAGCCTCTTTTGTCAAGGAAGGTGGTGACTTTATTCTGCTTTTATGATCTCCTTTTTTTGTTGCTTAATTAACCCTTTGGATTCCTTTCATGGATGAACAAGTAAAGTCTGTAGGGCATAAAAACCAGCTCAGCAGACAAAGTGGCAGTGACAGTGGCAGGGTATATATATCTATATACTAATTATTAATTCATTCTCCAACATAGGCACGAGATTTAGGACTTTATGCTTACCCTTCACATTGGAACCTTTTCTTTTTTTAACAAAAGAAGGAAAAACTTCCAAGTGATCAATCTTGGGGGAAGATAAAAGTGGGCAGAAACATAATAGGTGTGAAATGTGAAATCCAAATAGTAATAATTCAAAAGAAACACCATAGTCCCAAGAGTGCAGAGCTGTCAAATTCTACAGTGATAACTAAATACAACTTGCAATGAAAAATTAATTTTTCATGTAGACTATGAAAACATGTATTTGATTCCGATAGTTTCAAAGAAAAGATCAATATATTTCAAGAAAGGAAGTACCCACCAGACCAGCCATCCTCCACAGTCCACAGCCCTTCTGTAGCCCAAGAATGAAGGGAAATTGCAAAACCTTGAAAGTAATCGAGGGCGCAGGTTCCTAATTGCCAAAGAGATCAAGATGAAATCCTCCTACTACCCCACCTTCCTCGGGAGACCTTAGATCTGCGCCTTAACCAACGACGCATGGGTTTGTTAACGCGAGCCTTGTCTAGCACAGCGTCCAGCATTGGGCTGCCAACAATGTCCAGGGAGCTCTTGAATGACCATATCCGGTCCTCCGGCCAAGGCATTTGGGGTCGTCTCTTCTGGCAAAGAAAATACATGGGAGATTATCAGTCAGACTCAATTCATAAAAATGAAAACAAAAATTAAATTTGATTCCTAAGTCTGAACAAGATCATCAAGGCATCAGGCTTACCATCATAGAAAGCATACACTTCACTGCCCTTCGGCCGTAGACAAGTTGTTGTGATGGCTTCTTGGATTTGGCATAGAAAGAACTGACTACGGGTAAGGACAGGCACCCCCTGCTTGCTTCAGCCAGTAGAACATCTGGGTCAGGATTTTGGATATACCAAAACATTAGCTGTCCTATACAGTAGGACTCGCTATATGTCTTCCGGTATTCGTGGACACCCGAACCCAATTTCGCAGCATACTTTGGGCTGAGGTCTTGTGAGGTAATATGAATGGGGGGAGATACTACTTTCTCGTATTTCTGAAAAAGGATGAATGTTGAAGAATTAATTACTCACGCATTATTCAAGTTCAACAGGTCGGCATTTTGGTGTAGTGAGTTTGGAAAAACTAGAACTCACCCTCAGTCGGAGAAAACAGTTTGTGTGCGCATAAAGATGTATCAAGTCACCAGCAGCATCGTGCCGCCTTTCATACGTAGAACGCAACTTCCGCACCACATCCCTCAACCTGAAACATATTGAAGAGACTTACATTATAAGGATTTATAGTAAGATAGCATGCATGCTGAAGTGAAGCTAATGATAATTACCATTTTAATGAGTTCTGGAACTTCGTCTCTTGTAAATAAGGACCAAATGACCCACGTGCATGAATCATGGTCTTCAGGTTCTTCAATCTCTTCCGTGACACACGAGGTGCCATGCTTCGTAGCAGTTCGTCGACGAATGATCCTTCTCCTTCCCAGAGATGAGAAACCACTGCTTCTGGGCTGAGTCTTTCAAGTGGAGGAGGTGCCTCCTTCGGATCATCGAAAAGACATCTCATAACATACTTAACCTGGATCAATATTTGAAATAAACAATTACAGCACCCTCTATAGTCGATCTAATATCATGGTGAATATCAATCCAAAACTCCCTTACCTTGTGTATGGTAATAGCCAAATTCTGAATCCTCTGATTGTACACACCCTCTGCCTATAACAGTCAAAACGATAAAGATGAACCCCATACCACAACCTTAAATAATCTCTTCCGCAGTTTGACATATAGAGGCACCATGGCAAACCACGCATTCAAGGAAAGGAGGTAAAGACTTATACCTGAATTTCAGCATCTTTCTTCTCAGCTTCCAGGTCTATTTCAGTAAAGTACCTCTTCTTTTCCTCGATGTTATACCTAAGAATCTCAGCTGGGAGCTTCATCCTCTCAAATTTTATGAACCTCACCTAATTTCATATGATATCAAAATATCAGAAGATTTCCATGAGCAATTATATCTCAAAACACAAACCAGAGAGAAGAAAGCATACCAAACGAGCTGAATATGCAATCAGCCAGGCAGGCAACCCACCAAGCAAACAACATCCAAGTCCAGCTTTACCCAGTTCAGTAAAATCTTCTTTTGATACGGAATTCAATTTACAAGCCTCCAGAAGTAATGAACATCGATTAAGTAATCCATGACGCTTTTTCAGCACCTATTAGGCAGCCAGATCCAAGAGATCACCATTCAAGATATGAATATATATATATATATCTACACACAAACGAAGCAGACACAATATTAAAGTGTAGTAAGTGAAACAATTCTTAATCATGTACCTGCTCAAAGGCCCCTTCCCCTGTTAGATTTAGATAACTACCACGGCAATCACTGGTCCCACACAAACAAACTGAATTTTCGTACTCGTCATTACTCTGGAGACAATTAAGAATTACAAACAAAACAAATAAACTACTGAAACTGCTGCCATTTCATATGCTACTGACCTCAGTAACAGAGTTGTAGTCAAAGGTGATCTCTTCACCATAAGCAATAGGCCTCACAGAATAAATCCCAATCTGGTATTGACCATCAACAGCAGTGACCCTGTGGTTATAGTGACAATATATTAACAGCACAGTTAAAATAAAAATTTTAGTGCATAATAGTAATCATTTAAAACCAGGCAACAAATAGAATCAGATAGCTTGGCCATCTTCTGGCTAAAGAATGCTTTGTACTCTACAATATGTAATTTACTACCATCAGAAGCACAACAAAAAAAGAAAAAGAAAAAAAGATTTCTCTTTTGAACTGTTGGTGTAACATCCCAGTCGGCTCAAACCGGAGTGTCACCGCCACGCCACTCTAGAAGACTCATTCATCAACCAACGAACCCTACGTTGTGACGTTAAGGCCAAAATAACAATTACAAACAACTAATTGAAGATTTAAAATTGAAGCACACCAGTTTATCATTTAAATAAATAAAGTATTAAGTCATAAGCATAAGTTAAAAATTAGTTTTAAAATATTAATAATGAATTTCAAAAATATTTTAGAAGATAAAGTAGTTCTAATTCCCTCGATGGATCATATGACGTGAATGCATCATTTAGGTATAATAGAAGCACCATCACGACGGCTGAGTAAGCGTAAGTAATCAAAGATAAATTAATACGGTATAATGCCACAAAATCATTTGAAAATGATAATTTGAATAAAATGTCATATCATATAGTTACACATAACAAGCATAGGGTCACAACACTCAAGGAAAGCTCCACAAGTATCTAAGGGTTCGAAGCCCAAGGTACACGTAAGTCAATTTATTTATTAATTAATTTGCGAGGTGCGTTATACGGCCCACAATCCTCTAGTCTCCGATATAACATACCTAGAGGGGATTGTACGCAATCCATCCCTCCATCACGCATGACGGTCTAAAGTCCTTTTTCATCGTGAATGACGGACACTTCGGAATCACTCAAAAAGGGAACCTGCCATCTCGATTCCTCGATCTAGCCCATTCGGGATCTAATTCGAGGTTAGCTAGTTATCCTTAAATACATATACCCTCACGTGTTTGCAAGGCATAGAGGTGGAAAGCTATGTCTTATCATCCAAACAATCGACGAGTTGATCGGACTCGATGGGTAGTTTCAATTATCAATTTGACCCGGTACTCAACATGCTATTAGGCAAATTTTTTTTTTTTAAAAAAAAAAGGAGTTTTAAACTCAAAACATTTCAATTGCCAACATTTAATCAATCAAAAAGTGGAAAATTAAAGCCCAACAAGTTCGTTATAATCTCACTTATTTCGCCAAATAAACATTCGAAAAATATGTCCATCCCAATAGGCATAAATCTTTTAAAAAAAAAACATAACTAGGTTAAGCAAAACTAGGGTTTCAAACTCATTTCACAAATTCTACGATTTTCAATTTAAATATTATAATAATCTTCACATAAGTCTTCTAAGATATTATAATCAACTTTCTAAAAGAAATTGGCAAAACCTAACACTTTTAGGGCAAATTCATTTGAAAATAATTTTGAAAAATATCAATAGAAGAGTTTAGGGATTAGAACATATCATCTATATAAGATTAATCCCACTTACCTTAAAAAAATCCAAAAGGAAAAGAGTTTTTGGAGAAGAAGAATTTCAAAGAATGGGGTGCTTGGCGGCGCTGGCTGGGGAGAAACGCTGCTGCCTCTCTAATTTTTTTTTTTTTTTTTTTTTACTTTATTAAACATGAAAGACTTGGCCTTTATTATTTATTTTACCCTACTTGGGCCCAAATTGGTCAAAACTCAATTTTTACTCATAATTTTAACCAAATTCCTTAATTTCTTACACCAAAAGTCCAAAATCAATTAGGCCCAAAATAATATTGTTCAACTCCGACGTCGGACCCCGGAGAGCTCCGGCGAACTTCCAGCAATTATTTTACGGGGTATTACAGTAGGTGTCGTCACCTATTCTAAGACAAATAAATTATCAGAAAAAGTCACAGCATTGCTTAGGAAGACAACCGTTTCAAAACATTTAAGATTAAACAGAAAAGACAACTATCAGTGCTTACCTTGCTTCACAATTAGGTCTACAGGAGTGACAAATCCGGCTTGCGTAGTTTGCTTTGTGCATTGCATCAACAACAACTAGATCATACCCATCTGCATCATCCTGCATTCAAAATTTCAAACCTTAGTATTAACCCAACATCCAAAGTTGAATGGAGGTATCCAAGAGAAACACCGGGCAAGATAACAGCGTTTGGAAAAGAATTTTAGAGGGCAACTCATAGGTTCACGATTTCATGAGGCATAATCGAGAGGGTGTTGAAACAGCGGATAATTTGCGTCATACTAATTTGAGCTTAATTTTGAGGTAATAACAGCTACTTGGCAGTGGGCAATTAGACAGAACTGAGGAATCAACAACTGCAAACAAATTAAAGTAAATGTACAAGTATCAACATTGTTGAAGCAAATTTAATTTCACTCGGAGACTTTCAATTCCAGTCTCAAAAAAATAAATAAATAAAGTGGAAACACCAAAAATGAAGTACTCCAAACACATAATAGCATTATGTAAGCAGTTGCAATAAACCTTGGGCCTCTCAAGATAAATGTTGTAGAACTCAGGTGCTGGATCATTATTGTTCCCTTGCAAAGCACGAATCCCATCTTGTTTCTCAAACCATTTCCACGTAGGATAAACCTAGAACATGGGAGAGAACACAGAAAAATTCAAAGGACACATTCTCAAAGGCAGCAGATCATCAACTGCATGCAAAAAGACAAGTGTAACAAGAAGGGATGAAAAACTATGCCAATTCAGCAATAACAAGTAAGAATATTTAGACACTAAAGTTAGACTTACTACAACAAGAGACTAAAGTTACAAGTTTACTATGCCCTGTTAGAATTAACTGTTACCCAGCATGCAAAAGACAAATATAACAGCATGGCCCGATCAAAACCACATGAGAACCCCCCCCCCCCCCCCCAGGGGCTAGCCCTGATGAATAATTTTCCTCCACCCAACAAATTAAGAAAAGAAACAAGTAACCATTCATAATAAAATGCTCCACTGCATTGATAAACGATCATTAGCAGTTGATAAGAATATAGTGGGAAGGGGTAAAAGGCATCCTGATACCATGATCTGATGATATAAAAGATAGTGATTAAAAGCATTACCTCCCCAAGTAATTCCACAATAAATTCATCTTTAGTAAAACCACCATCTTTGTTACAAATAACCCCAAGTCCCTGAATAAGAGAAGAGCAATGTTATGCTTTTAACATCCAAGAACATAAGGAATTGGGTCCTACATGGAATATACTTGTAGCACAGCCAACAATTGTAACACTCAAGGCATCAGCTACATAAACAATAGAGTAACATAATAGAATATGTCGGTTCAACAACATAATAAAATGACCAGATAATAATAAAATAGTGGACTAATATGACTGACCTTCCTATAAGCAACATATTTTTCCTTAGGACGATCAACCATTGCAGTAAGGACACCTCGGCAGAGTCGCAGGGTTGTTCGATCACCATTTTTCAATGCTGTTTTTAATATCTTTTTAAATACACACTTCAAATCACATGTCATTGGAGGGTTTTCAGTACCAGTAAATATTCTGGCATGCTTGTTGAGGGTACAAAGGAACACTTCTTCAATGAAAATATGCTTGTCAAGTAGTGATAAATCTGAGTCCTTTGGCATTGAATCAAGAAAAAGACTACGTGTGCATGGATCTATTCCATAAACTTCTTGTTCGATCACCTCATAACCAAGGGATTTTGTGGGCTTGAAAGCCTCCGCCTCTGGAATTTCCATGTCAGACACCACAGCACCACTTCTTCGGACATTGAGCTTCTCACTATGAATCTCTGATAAAGACACCTGCATTTTTCTTCTTACTTCTTCCTCATCTGCTACAATAACATAGTGATCAATAACTTCATACTTTCTGGTGACAGGAGGAACAACGTTTTCCTTTGTCATACAAGCACCCCATTCCCGCATACAAGGAAAAGAATCAAGTCCACTCTCAGGTGAAAAGTCTGCCTCATTTCTAGTTTCACTTATAACACCTTCCAATGGGGACTTTGAGTTACTTTCACTGTGCAATGCAGTACTTGTGATGTCTGCCATACTTGCATCAGAAGATTTGTCACAATCATCAGTAGCATCACTTCCTGACCCCAAAGACTGTTTATTTAATTTGGACAGTCTTGTTTCGATTCCATGATCAGATGCATAAATGTTGGTAAACTTACAAACCAAATCTTCAAGCTGGGAACCTCTGATATCTACCGATGCTAAGGAAGGGGATGACAGAATAATTTCCTCGAGTGCGCTAGCAGTAATTCCAGTACCACTTGAAATTAAGGAAGTAATCTCCTCTTTCTTGTAATCACTCTGCAGATTATAATTTTACATGTCAAACTAGCAATTTATAGAATCTATGAAATCCTTCAATATCATGTTGTTTACTCTAGCAATGAAATAGGTCTGAAGGTAAACAACAGAAGGACGCACAGAGAAAAGAGGCATATGCACAGAAATGCAAAGCAAGCAAAACTTACCATAATTTTCAAGATGATAGAGTCTGAGCATTTCGTACCAAGTGCGCAGAAGTCCACTTCTCTAGAGATATCTAGGTACCCCTTTAATGCAGATTGCCAGTGCTTGCAAGTTAAAGCAGCACGAAAAATTGACTTGAGATCATCTCTAAGGAAATGAAATACCCGGGACAGAACATTTCCATCAAGTAAATTCCACCTTCCCATCTCTTCATCAGAATCCACATCACTTATCGTCTCTTGTTCATTATTCTGAATAGCAATCATAGTCTGATGCATCTTATACTTTTCATCAAACCCATCTATCCTAGCCTTTTTGCTGGTGTGGAGGTGATCTACAATAGTAGTTGACATGGAACATAAGTAAATGTATAACAAAAACACAATAAAACCTGTGATATTTGCAGTAACCAAGTCAAATAATAACTTATTGAATCGGGTTCAAAGACCTGGATAAACTAAATAACACTTCAAAAAACCTCATTAAGTCCCATGCAGGAGATAGTGAGAACTAGAACAAAAACAATCAAAGTTTACAAAAAGTCACCTTCCATATTTCCTCGACCCACCCTCTCCTTGGGTTCAAAATTCAGTGGCAAGAGTTTCTGCAAGAGATAAACATAAGTGGGCAAAAATAGATACATAGATGGATAAAGATCAAATTATAAATGGTCAAGAAGCAGAATAGCAATGATTTGAATGCAGAAAATTACAACAAAAATAAATTCATGTTCAGATTTCTTTCCAATATAATAAGATTGAATTAAAGGTGGAGTAAACCTGGGTTTCAGAATCCATATGCACTCGAACGGTTGGTTGTATAAATTGCACTTAGGATTTGGATGCACTTTCCGAAAGATCTCACTGTTGTGATAAATGACACACCATGGAGCAAATCGCAAATGGCGCAGCCTTTACAGCATATGCTACAGCAAAATGTATCTCAGATGCCTCTGCCCTAGCGCAAGGCGCCGTTTCATTCATATTTATAAGGGTTAATTAGGGTTTTCTTTAAACTAAAAAGACAAGCACAGGCAGTCTTTTATTTTATCTACTGTTCTACACTCCCACTCGTAGCCTCTGCCAGCCTATTTCAATTACATTTTCTGCCTCTTTTAGCATATACTCCCTCCGTCCTACATAAATTGTCTATATTTTCCTTTTTCGTTCGTTCTACATAATTTGTTTTTTTCTTTTTCGAAAATATAATTACACATTTTAATCACATTCTAAATTCCATAATTTATAATTTTCTTAATTCTAGTTAAATTATTTATTTATCTTAATCTTAATTTATAATTATTTTTATTATACCATAATTACTTTTACTAATACACTTCTTATTTACTTACTAAGTATGTTTTACCTAAATTCTCGTATCTACAGCAACGTTGACAATTTATCCAGGACGGAGGAAGTAATATATATATATATATACGTATATATTGTTGTTTGACTTCCATATGTAGATAAATTAATGATGCATATCCCTATAAGCTTAAGCTTTAAGGGAGACGGGTCATTCAAATTATCTAACATAGTATTAGAGTCTTAAGTCTCGAATTTGAATCCCACCATCTCCATCCAGCATATATCCACGTGCAAGTCTTGTATATATCTCCTTGCACGTGAGACGGGAGGGGTTGGCCCTATCCTTATAAGCTTAAGTTTTTAGGTGAGACGATCATTCTAATCATCTAACATATATTGAAATATATAATTTTTAATACTTACAGTCCCCCATGTAGAACAAACAATGAACGTTTACAAAAGGCACCCCATTTCCCCCCAACCCACCCCTCTCCTCAGGTTCAAAGTTGTAGCAGAGTTTCTGCAAGAGATAAACGAAGATGACAAAATAAACATAGAGACGAATAAAGGCCAAAACTTGGGTGTTTGTTTGTGGGGTTTTGGGTTGGGTCATACTATTCCAAAATCCCCTCCAACCCCCACCCCCCCAAAAAAAAATAAATAAACAAAAAATAAAAAATCAAATCAAAGACCTACTTTTCATTTATTATAATATACTAAAATTTAATTTTATATTCAAAATATCACATCAACACACATTTATATCATATCAAACAACTATTTCAATTCAAAATTTTATTATTCAAAACCCAAATCCAACACCAAAATCCCACAAACCAAACACAACCTGAAGTTTCAACAAAAATGTTATATCTTAAATGTAGAAACTTGCAATTAAAATACATTCATGCTCAGATTTCTTTTTCTAATATATCAAGACTATGTCAGAGGTTGAGGAAATCAGGGTTTCCCCATTCACTCAAATGGTTGGTTACATAAATCATATTTAGGTTCTAGGATAAATTTAGATTATAGAAAAGGTTGTGTACAATTAATAGATTCTCCTGAAGGTCTCCGCAGTGTCATAAATGGCACAACATGGAGCAAGGCGCAAATGGCTTTGGACTTTGCTATAGCAAGGCACGCTCTCAGGAACCTTTGCCATTTATTTTTTCACAATTACTAGTTACTATTGTTTATACATGGAAAAATTTTCAATTTATGCAGAAAAAGAGCATAAGAAATCCTCATACCTGTAAGAGTCTCCAGTTCCATGCCCTGAATTGGTTTTATACATTCTAAAAGTGATCCCACTGTCTTCAATATGAAAATCTTCTGCATCCATGGGGGCAGATGACTTGTCTCTGAGCATAATATTGGATGTGAAGAGGACATATAAGGAAGTTGGATGACATAATAATTTCCTGAAGCACGATAGCAGTAATTCCAGTTAACCACTTAAAATTAAGGAAGTAATCTCCTCTTTCTTGTAATCACTCTGCAGATTATAATTATACATGTCAAACTAGCAATATATAAAGTCTATGAAATCCTTCAATATCATGTTGTTTACTCTAGCAATGAAATAGGCCTGAAGGCAAACAACAAAAGGACGTATAGAGAAAAGAGGCCTATGCACAGAAATGCAAAGCAAGCAAAACTTACCATAATTTTCAAGATGATAGAGTCCAAGCATTTGGTACCAAGTGCACCCTTTAATGCAGATTGCCGGTGCTTGTAAGTTAAACTTGAGATCATCTCCAAGGAAATGAAATACCCGGGACAGAACATTTCCATCAAGTATATTCCACCTTCCCAACTCTTCATCAGAATCCACATCACCTATTGCCTTTTGTTCATTATTCTGAATAGCAATCATACTCTGATGCATCTTATACTTCTCATCAAACCCATCCATCCTAACCTTTTTGCTGGTGTGGAGGTGATCTACAATAGTAGTTGACAACGAACATAAGTAATTGTAAAACAAAAACACACAAAAACCTGTGATATTTTCAGTAACCAAGTCAAATAATACCCGAGTTGTAAGAGTTTTTCAACCTCTTTCTTAGGCTGTCGAACATTGATCCAATGGTCAAGTATTTCATCCACCTCAACAGAAAATTCCTGAGTCTTGTAGGAGTTCATCACCAATTCATAAAGCTTTCCCGGGGTATATGCAATAAACTGCGCATGTAGGCCATGAAAACCACTGGCAATATTCCGCCTATCACTTATTAAAGCACCAGTTGCTTCTCGAAGGGGAGTAGAGCAGGTTGAATTAAATCCAAGTTGATGCATTCCTGAAGGCCCAAAAGGAAGCATAACGAAATCCCAAATTTTATCTCTTTCTGTAAACACTGTTGTGTTTCCAGATGATGCTTGGCCTGCCATTAAAAGCGGCTCAGAGAATGAAATGGCCCGTGCTCACGCCCAGAAGCATCAAGGAAGTACCAGTCACCAAAAAGCAATTTTAACTTGTCTATTTTGCACACACGGTCCTCTGGTATACTGAAAGGTGCACTTGCATTCCTAGAATCTAGTGAGTTCTGTTCTTGAAAATTCTTTGAGTAACCATCTTCCAACCTCTTTGTAACAACAGGAGTGGAATGTGTCCACAAAGTCCTTGTAGAAATCTTTTCCTTTCCTCTCACCTTCACAAGGGATTCAGAGACAAATGAACCATGGTACCTTGCAACAGAGGCATTTATTTGAACCACGGGAAGCATGATTCCTTTGAGCCCCGAGACAAGAGCAGCTATGTGTAAGGTTGATCTGCTCCTACTGCGCAGATCATTCTACTCATCACAATGCATAAAAGCCATAATGGAAGGTTAATCCTTCTGCTCTGAGCAGGATGAAACAAATCATTCTTTTGCTCCAACCTAGAGTCTTTACAACCAGTATGAGAATCAGACACAGGGGATAGACATCATTGACAACAAGCTTCCTTTTGAAGATCTATCTTTGGTAGTTTCTTCACTACTCCTGCAATCACCTCCCCTGCATGCCCACTGATTAGAAGCGTTCACAAATGTTACTACTACAGGAGATCAGGAGAGTGCATAATCATCCTCAAAAGCAGCAAGTACATGGGCAATGTGTTGTTTAGCGTCCTTATAGTTTCACTCCAAACCACCAAGCCAACCCTCAAGTCATCCATTTTCAACATGCTCAATCACATCCCGTTGGCGCCTGGAAAAGCCTGTCAATTGCCAAAAACAAGAACCTTAAATAACCAGAGTACTAACAGACAGTTCTACTTTAGCAGTTTAGAGGAAATATACAAAAGTGGTAGCCAACTCAAAAAGGGAGAGGGAAAAAACAACACATACAAAGTCACTGCTATCTTCTTCCAGAAGTGAACTCGTTGCCCAATATTTCTTAAAGCAGATTTTTCAGCTCAGTAATATCAAATTCAACCTACAATAATAATGTACTTAAATAGAGGCATCAAAAATTGCAGCACCAACTAAACTAAAGCAAGCTGTTTGACAAAAACCCAAACATTTAACTTAAAATTAAACAATATTATTGAGCAACTATTCAGTATGGAAATATGAAATATGGATGGCCCTGTCACTTGGCAGCACTCTAAATAATCCGCATGGATCCTGCTAGTATCATCTTATTATCCCAATTCTTCCACTCATCTATTCTCCAAATTCCTGGACCTCAGCATCTTTCCCCTTGTTGAATTATCTCCATCTCTTAAAAGTAGTTATGGAACAAACTATTGTGACAAATCTTTTTGCCACCTTAGCAGCAAAACAACTAATCACCTTATTGTGATCCAATTTTCCATCAAGCTGCAAAGAGACTTGAGGCACATTATGGTCTCGCAGACGTCAGAGTCCACAATTAACTACCTCAATTCCAAAAAATTGCCTTACGACTACTTGGAAATAAACAAAATGGCAATTCAAATGTAGCCGGTAGCAAATGAAGATTGCAGAAAGTAAAATTAGGATGAAAGGGACACACAACCGCTCACATTCTTAATTTCTATGTATCTTTATATCACGGACAAAGAACATTCAAAACTCCTATGATGTTCGAAATGAAGATCCTGTTCCTTAAAAATGGTCTAAATCTGGCCATAGCATTTCAAAACTGTTATATATTGTTAAATATATATTGTAGATTATATTGTATCAGAGCAATTAAACTAGGGTTTAGGGATCGGACGTTTGGAGGCTAATCTCATCGGAGTTTCTGCCGTCGACCGTCGCTGTCGCCGCCGGAGTCGACGCCATCTCTATCAGCCGCCAGTCCATCCATCCGCTGCCCCGCAGCTTCTCGCGCACAGCATGACGCGTTCTGGAGACGGGTTTACCGCCCGCCGACGCCGCCGCCGCCGCCACCGCATGCGTGATAATTTTCGGTGCAAGTCTGGTGCAATTTTGGGTACAAATTTGGTGCTTTCATAATGGGTTTTCTTCTCGTATTCTCAAAATCCAAATCACCAAACAAACACTAAACACTGCCCTACATCAATCAAACCTAATATGGGTTTCTTCTAATATTCTCATTTTGTACCGCCATCATTTACACAAACTTTAATTTCCTTTTTATTTACATTATTAAATTATCGATTTTTATAAAATAATTTAAATGATAATAAATTTTTCTAATATGTATCTTTATTAAAATATTCATCTACAAACATAAAGTAAACGTTGAATAATAAAAAAATTATTTAAATATTTATTATATTTGAATATAATAAATCATCACAATTATTTAATCAAATACATGATTTTATTAATTGAATAAATCATATAGGTGAAAAAAAATATGTTAATGTAACAATGGTGGTGAATCAAGTTGGTTAGATATATAGAATACATTTAGATTGCGTTTATTTTGAATGATAGGATTATATATAGCACTAAGAATTATTTTAATAGATTAAATAATCAATGTATTAATTAATATAATATTTACTTTATTTTATTAAATATTGAATAAAATCATATTATGTTATTATATGATTATTATTATTTTATTCAAAATATCTTTTCATAATCATTTTATGAACTACATAATTTATTTTATATTTTTTCTTTTTAATATATAATAATATATTAAAATTATGAGATTATCATAATATATATAATTTGATTAATTTTTTTTAATATTTATTAAATATATTTTATTTTATTTTCATTTTTTATAAATTAGTTTTTATCATTATATTATATCTTATTCTTGTCACCTAATGAAGAGTAATTTAGATATTTTATGAAGTAGGATTAAATAATATTACGAAGAAATTAGACTAATTACCTTCCAAATTCATATTATAATATTGAATTTGTAGTTATATCCTACTCAAATATATTATAATAAATATAAAATTAAGTCGGATAAAATAATATTATTTATCCTAATTTCGATAATAAACACACTCTGATTATACCAGATATAGAAAATATCGTATTCATTTTTATAAATCAAGCATATACATATTTTAGAATAATATATCAAGATCTATTATTTCTCCAAAAAAACTATAGATTTTGAGGTCAAAAAATAAAAATTTAAATTAAATAAATTCAATAATGCTTTCAATGCTATCAAGTAATCTTCAAGGATACTACTCTTCTAATTATTATGTGTTAAAAGGCTATTAGAAATAAAGCAATGCATATATCCCTCAATAAATTTTAAATTATTTAAAGGTTTATAGTATATCTAATCATACATTGACATTTAAAGAATAATCGCGGATTATCCTATTAAGAAATCTTAACCAATTATTGGATTTGATAATAATTGGGCATGGTACACAATTAACTACTGTGAAGTTTGGTTCAAAAGTACTTGAAATTAATTAATATTATTGTTATTGTTATTTTTTTTTATTGTACACTATTTTTTTAATGGGACTATTCAAAAAAATATACAAAATTTATAAACTAGAATAGGCAAATACAATTATTTGTTTGTATGAATTATTATTAGTAGTAATATTATTAGAACAATTATCAAAAAATCGCAAAAATTGATGCCGTTTTTGCAAACGAATCAATTACCAGATTCGAAATTAATTCGAATATCAAACATAAAAATAATTTGCATATATAATTTTTGACATTTATAAAATAACTACTCAAGTCGTAATTTTAATATTTTTTTTTCTTTTATGAATTATTTTATTCATACGATTGGAAAAATCAAATATATTGATGTTCAAAATATTTGAACAACTACATGTGACAATTGTAAAAATTTGTATAGAACTCAATTGACAAATACGGTATGCATACAATTGGAACAAATTTAAGGTAATATAATATATATATATCAATATTTTATTTTATATTATATTTATGTATCATATACAACTATAATATGGATAAGATGTAAAATTAATGCTAAAATATTAAAGCAACTTTAAGGCAATATATATCAATATATTATTTTACATTATACTTATGTATCATATACAATTTTTGATGTGGATATAATGTAACTTTGATGATAAAAAATGGTACTAAAAGCATGGATTTAAAATTGTTATACAAATAATCTCAATTTATCTTTCGGAGCAATCTTATATGAAATTTCTATATGATCAGATATAGTTTATATATATAAAATATATATTATTTAATATTTATTTATTTTAGTATTCTAATATGTCTTTTAAATATAATGAAAGAAAAATAATAAATTATTAGTAAGTTAACAAACTCAAGATTTTATAGATCATACTTATAGATTTATACTATCAATTTTTTCTCCATGGACACCACAAATATTTGTCATATAGCAAATTTTGTAGTAATTATTGACTGGTCCAAAGAATGTTGGTATCTTTCTATCAAATATTTTTTATTACAATAAATTATTTATATAATATAATTTATAAAATTTATATAAATTGTGCAACGCACAAGTCGTACACTAGCATTCAAATAATTGAAGTCATCCTCATATTCTATTGAAAAATATTTAACTATAACAAACATGTATTTTTAGAAAAAAGTGAACTGTTTTATCTTGAAATCACCAAAAATTTATTGTGTACTCAAATATGGTAAAATTGGTCTTAAAATAAGGTAAAGACACTTAAATACATTTCATATCCAATATGAAGACAAAAACACCTCCAATTTGAAACAAAAAATATTTTCAAAGTATCAAACATAGCTTCGGTAAAAATAGGGCATGAATTATTTATGTGATCTTAGAGCTCGCTTACACTAAGTATACCATCAGTGGGAACTTTGCTTAGGCGCTTGATAGCTTATTTACTATGATTTTATTTATTTTTTAAATTCATAAAAAAAAATATTTTCACTAAAAAATTATTGAATGTTGTTGAAGATGTAAATAAAAATTTTACTATTCCATTCGGATTGATTGGGAAAAGAAAAAAAAAAAGGATTAATCTACTAAAAGAAAGGAAAATACAAAAAAAAAAAAAAAAAAATGCCAATTTATTCTCTACCCCATTCAATGTCACAATTGCACTAGATGAAATGAGACAATTTTGTTCGAAGTTTTGAGTAAATTTTATATTAATTTGTCTTCCAAGAAGATTGTGGATCCAACCTTTCCATGATTCAAATTTTTTATATTGTTCAAAAATTGCTTGAGTTCCATCCAATACTATGTTACACTATTAAGATAACAGAAAGACCTATATGTCAATCTCATTTTTTGAGTGAAAAATCCAATGACATTGCTAAATTCATTTATGGAAACAAGACCATTAGTTTTTCGAAAAATGCATTAGTTTGTCGTCTTCTTCATCTTAGTTTTGTGGGCGATCGATTAAGGAACTTTTGATGGGGTTTTTCCCTTAAATTAATTGGGTGAGATTTTTTAGTGTATAGCTGAAAGATCGGCGAGAAAATTTTCTTGTATAGATTTGGGATTGATTGTTCTAACAATTGTGGTTACGGTTTAGTGTGAAACGAGTTAATCGGTTAGTTGAGGTTGTGGCTGAGTTGGTTTCGGAGTTTTCTCTCCTGAGGCTCCTTTGTCATTCTAAGGTTGTTTCAAGGGCTGAGCCAAACTCTATGGTGCGTTTCTATATTCATTCTTCTGTCAATTTAATACAATAGTTTTTTTTTTAAAGTTTAATCTTGTCGTTTCTTTTTTAAAACGAATTTTATTAAATAAAAACACAACATTTTTGTTTTGTTTATGTGCCGTAAATATACTACCTAAACATGTGTTAACCATTAGCTAAAGATAGGTAAGCTCCACTTGTCAATTGATAAGCACTTGAAAATTGAGAATTTTAGTTTTGTTGCTATGAACAAAATGTTTAACTTTACTCTAAATTCCTCAAGTGAATTTTTTTTTTATGACGTGGGAACCGGCAGCCGTTACTCGAAAGTGCGCATTGGATTAACCTCGGTCGAACCTTATACACCGCAAACTAGGCCCGACAAGACTAGGCGAACCATATGTGGCAGATGATTTGAGACGTCGGAGGTTTGAACCCATGAACTCAAGGTTATACATCCCATCCCCACACTCTTTTTGCACAACTATAAAGTGATTTCTATTGCCAATAAAAAATCATTTGGCATATGAGACGTCTACGTCCTACCAAACATTCCAATATATTTTTGAAATTCTACCTCTGGATGGCCCGTGGGATTTGGGCCAATTGGAATATCATCAAAGTGGACTCTTTTTTTTTTTTTTTTTTTGTTTTCTTAAGAACACATTCGGGTTTGGTCTCATAAATATGAAATTTAAGTATATTGAAAAAATGAGATTAATAATAAAAAAGGTATTAAATAAATACAAGAATTTAATGTTAAAAATTAAAAATAAATTAAAAATACTGAAATTTGAAGGTAAACAAATAAAATGTAATTTAAGAAGAAATAAATAAATTCAAGAAATAAGAAGTCAAGAAAAATGGAAGGAATTTGTGTTTAGTGTAATTGTCATTATCTTTCATTTGTTTTTTTTTTTTTTTTTACATGGGATTTATTTATTTCTTTTTGTTTTATTTTTAAAATAGCTTCAAAATTTGCGGTCTTTATTTTTTAAATACGTGTATCAACCGTTTAAATTCATAATTTTACAGTCACTAATTCACTCCACACTTGTAGACTATTCTTTTAAATTATTAAATAATAATTTGAATAATAGAAAATAATTTTTCTTAAAAAAAAAGTATTTGAACTTAATTGAATCTTAAATCTCAAACGTTTAGAAGAATAAATTATTTAATCTCAGCTTCTAATTTAATAAATTTTTAAAAAATTGTACCCATTCCAGCACCAAAATAAAGCTACAATAATATATATATATATATATATCAATTTCCATTTATTTCAATTTTGATTTCAATTTCAATTTGTTCATAGTTTTAAACTGAACCGATCAAGATCGTGAGATCATCTCCAACTCATCTTCATTTATCCAGTTTTAACTCTAAATATGCAATTGATACAGTAATTTTACTCCAATTATAACTCCATTTTTCACTATTATCAAATATTCAAAATTTCATATTATTTTAAACAACTTTTTATTTTTATAAT